TGGAGTGGGTGTTGTATGAGCATTCAGGTCTTGGTGCTGTTTCTGCTGCTGGCTGTACCGTCGATTGTCCCTCTTGGGCTGTAAGCACAGAAACATTTGCTGCTGCTGCTGCTGCTGCTGCTGCTGCTGTTGTTGTTGTTGCTGCTGCTGCTGCTGTTGCTGTTGCTGTTGTTTCTGTCGCGTGTGTTGTTGTTTCTGTTGCTTGTGTTGTTGTTGCTGTTGCTGCTACTGCCGTTGCTGCAGCAGCAGCGGCATCAGCAGCTGCTGCATCAGCAGCTGCTGCATCAGCAGCAGCAGTAGCAGCAGTAGCAGCAGCAGCAGCAGCAGCAGCAGCAGCAGCAGCAGCAGCAGCAACCGAGGTGTACATACACCTCAACAGTTTGCATGCGTTTTCATCTTTTTAATTAACATTTCAGGTTTGGGCGGGAGAGCTGCCAGCAGGCAATCAGCAGCAGCACAGCAGCAGCAGCAGCAGCAGCAGCAGCAGCACAGCAGCAGCAACGAAACCTAAAGGGATACTTCAGTCTTGTGGTAGGATCTAGCTGCTGCTGCTGTTGCTGCTGCTGCAGTTGTTGCTGCTGCAGTTGTTGCTGTTGTTCCTGTTGGTGCTGCTGTTGATACCTCCGTTGCTGCTGCTGCTGCTGTTGCTGCTGCTGCTTCTTGCTGCTGCTGCTGCTGCTGCTGCTATTTTTTTTGCTCTTGTAGGGCTTCCCAGTTCCTTCTCTCAGCTAGCCACCCCTTCACTCCTCCTACCGTTGCTGCTGCTGCTGCTGCTGCTACTGCTGCTGCTACTGATACTGCTGCTGCTGCTGCTGCTGCTACTGCTGCTGCTGCTGCTGCTACTGCTGCTACTGCTACTGCTGCTGCTGCTGCTGCTGCTGCTGCTGCAGGCCGCAGCGTGCCGCAGCGCGTGTCTTCTGTGGGTGCTGAGGAGCTGCAGCGTTTGCTGCCGCGTGGCCGTGTTGCAGCAGCAAGTCGTTTGCTGCAGCAGCAGACAGCAGCAGCAGCAGCAGCACGAACTGCAGCAGCAAGAGCAGCAGCAGAAGCTGCAGCTGTAGCTATCAAAAAAAGAACAGAACACACAGCAGCAGCAGCAGCAGCAGCAGCAGCAGAAGCAGCAGCAGCAGGGGGCTTACCCACTCTTATAAAAGAAACAAAAATAAATAATTTTGCTGCTGCAGGAGGAGACACGAACACAAAAGTAAAAAAAAAAAAAAAAATAAAACTTTTTTTTTTTTTTTTTTTTTTTTTTTTTTTTTTTTTTTTTTTTTTTTTTTT